CCCCACTAAGAAGTCAGTAAAGAACAAAAGAAGAGTGATCTACGTCTACCGTCATGTCGGGACTCCGTTTCCTCGAGCTTTTTCGCCGGATCACCAACACATACTTTCTTGCTACAGCTGAAATACGTACGACTTTGGATGAGTGTTCTCCTTCGGAATCTTCAATCTCTCGTCGTCTGGCACCAGAGCAAAGTTTATCCCCATGATCGTCGTGTATTCCTCCATGGAGAATTGGATCGGAGTGCCTTGTATCGTCAGAGCCACATTTCTTTATTCTTATTGACTTTAATTTGCCGAAAGATGAAGTACAACATGAGTTGGCTTGAATGTTGATAGTCATACGGAGCGCCAAGGAGATGACCAAACTGCGACTCCTAAAAACACTTCAGCACCCGCTCATTGAGTTGCTTCTAGATCTAATCATGATGGACACTGAATCTATATCGGATGCTGATCTTGCACGAGAAGTTTTCATCTTCTGCCAAATCAGTCTTAGGGTGCGTTTAGTAGATGGATCCAGAATCATGATTCTGAATCCTCGTTTAGAATCAATGTTTGTTTAAAGTGATTCTGAATCAGTGTTAAGTTGGGATGATTCTGAATCATGATTCATAATCTGATGTGATGTTTTAAACTAGCTCAAATCATGATTCTAAAACCACTCCCTCTTGATTCAAATTGATTCAAACCCCTGATTCTGAATCATGATTCATAATCTGATGTGATGTTTTAAACTAGCTCAAATCATGATTCTAAAACCACTCCCTCTTGATTCAAATTGATTCAAACCCCTGATTCTGAATCATGGTTTTAGAATCATGATTTGAATCCAAAATCATGAATCATGATTTGAATCCAAAATCATGAATCATGATTATGATTCCATAATCATAATTAGAATCACTCTGATTTAAATCCTCGTACCAAACGAACCGTGATTCAATACTATCTCTGGCCTGCAAATAAATAGAAATAAAAAATGTTAGGGGCAAGAATATTGAAATTTAAAAGTTAAAAAAAAAAAAAAAAATGATAACAATCATCATAACTTTAGGAAAAAAAAAAAAAAAGAATCATAATGACCATATTTTAAGAAAACATCATACCAGAATCACAATGGGCTGAAGTACTAACACAGTCAGTTAGAACAATCATCATAACTTTAGGAAAAAAAAAAGAATAATCATAATGACTATATTTAAGAAAACATCATACCAGAATCACAACGGTCTGAAGTACTAACACAGTCACAGTCCATTTACACTAATGCAATTGAAACAATCAAACATTTGAAGAACTTTGGTAAAGGATAAGAAAATCATACATTCATTTAACTTCTGCTGCCTCCTCTTCCTCCACCATCTCCGCTGTGATTCCTCTGTCGTGCGCCGCGTCCAACAATAGCCGTTCTCCGCGAGTTTGCTTCTACATAATTGAGATGAAGAAAATCAATCACCAACATGAAACAAGGTGCACGGGCCACTAATCCACTTACTTTCGAAATCCTTTTTGAGGAAAAAGCAACACTTTCGGTTATTGATTTTCAATAGTTAAGACAGTGAAATTTTGAAGTTCCTTAATTTCATTGCTGGTAGTTCTCAGTGGATGTGCTTTGTTTAATAATGGCTTAAAGTACTAACACCAAATTTATTAAGTTTCTTATTTAGAAATTATACATGCTTATACTTAAGGATGTTATATTTTATGCTTCAGCTTCTTCTTTGAAATATTAGATATGTGGCTGTGCACCAAGTACTAACACAGTAACAGCATTCGTATATGTTTCAATAGAGTAGATTTTAATTGTTTTTATTCACATTTGTATTTAAATATTCACTCATTCATTACTGTTGAAACCATGCACATTAATGCAAACAACATGGACATAAATCAATAGGTGCGACAGTCATGAATTCTCTAATTTACCTTGATAAAAAATGGTTAATTATCAGATTTCCACAAGTATCATCAAACCAAAAACTTGTAACAAAATAAAATTGGCAAATTGGGAAATTTCCTCTCAATATTTGTCTTGCTGAATCAGGATAAGAAGACTCGACAAATAAAAAATGTTGGAAAAATCCAACAAGAAATTTTGATCCACATAAATGAATAATAGATTCCCCAACCTTTCGACCTTTCCTTACCCTTCATTCTATACAATTCAAGACAATACTTGACTGTAAATTTTCTTTCTTTTCCCTCCATTAATCATAAATCAAATTTAAAGAATACACTTAAAAAAAATTCGAGAAATAAACAAAAAGAAGGAAAAAATACTTTGTGGTTCTGAGAGATCAAAAGAGAGCTCACTTAGAAGGTTCAAACAAAAAGAATTATTATGGCGATGTACAGCCAGAGAAAGCACAGACACAAACATATTGAGTGTATCATAGGATCTAGTAATTAAAAAAAACAAAAAAAAAAAAAAAGAAGAAGAAAAAGAAGCAGGTTTGGTTCGGTTTAAAACCGAACCTCAAGGACATAACCAAAACCGAACCGCTGTTAAGACAGTTCAGTCAGTTAACCGAACCGACTTGCTTCGGTTCCACGTGGCACCGCTTTTTTTGATTTTCGAGCAGTCGGTTCTTTAGTCGGTTTCGATTTTACAGTTTTTTTGTACAGTACTAGTTCAGTGTATGACTTGTGCAACAAAAAGGAAGTAAAGAAAAGGACATACTCGAGGTGAGGACATAATGGAGTGTGTGACTTGTGTCAGGTTGAGCCTCGTGCAACGGTTGGTGTCAAGCTCTGTGCTCTGCAGAATTCTGGCTCTGGCGATATTTGCCATCAAGGGCTGCTTTGCAACTACTCTGTGGCGCTTTTCCGTTTGCTTAACTCTCACCATTGATAGATGCTGCTCAGATGTAAGAATGGAAGAGACGCCGAGTTTGGAGAAGAAATTTGGAGAATTTGGGGTAATTTAGACTGTTGAGGAGTATTTTATCTACTTTTTCTTTTTCAAAAAAGAAAAAAAAAAGTTTCTTAAGATGTGTTTCCACAAGGGTCATTGAACCCCTTCTTTCAATTTTAGAGTGCGAAAAAATCCACGTGATGCACTTCCTCTCCTCTCACTCCTCTCTTAAGAAGTCAAACATGTTTGGCTAAGCTTATATATCTCATCAGTCCGTCGACAACATTTCTTTGTAGTAGCAGTAGTAGAACGTCAATCCCACAATCATACTTGAGCTTGGATCTCAACCCATCAATTTATGGTCCTGTTATCAATTCATTAATGTGCCTCATGAGACTTATTGAGCAAATGCAACAACCCTTCTAGCATGAATGGCTCGCCAACAGCCAAGCGTTACATCATTTGGCTCCAATCCTTTTTGGATCACATCCTCGAGAAGTGCTTGAGCGGCATATACTCTATCAACATTTATGTATCCAATGACCAAGACGTTGTAGGAAAAAATATCAGGCTGAACACCCATCAAAGACATTTCTTCAAAGACCGCACTCGCCTTGTCCATTTCGCCTAGCAGACAATATCCCTTTATCAATATGTTGTACGTCAGCGTATCAGGCTTCAAACCACGTCGAATCATTTCATCAAACAACTTTTCAGCAGTGTTCATGTTACCTCTTTCTGAATAAGCATCCAAAATTCCATTCAAAGTTACAGTTTGAGGAAAGATTTTCAAACTCACCATCTCATCAAGCAACCTAGATAAAACTTTCCATTCACCAGAATAGGACAATCCATAAAGTAATATGTTGTAAGTGAAAATATTTGGCCTTATACCTCTATATTCCATTTCATGTAACAAATTCATGGCCTTCCTCCATTCCCCCAAACGACCAAATCCACTTATCAAACAGTTGTAAGTGATGCAATCCGGCTCTAGACCTGCATTACTCATTTCTTCCACAAGATCTAGCGCCTCCTTAATCCTGTTCTCCTTGCACAAAGCATTCAACATAGTATTGTATGTAACAATATTCGGAGAGATTCCCCAAGCAGTCATAGTCTCTAAGAACTCCATTGCTTGCTCACACCGGCCGGACTCAAGTAAACCATGAATCAAAGAATTACATATGACGACATTTGGTCTAACATCATGGTTGACCATATCTTGAAGAAACCTAAATGCCTCGTCTACTCGTCCTTCTTTACAAAGACCATGAATGATTGGACAGTAACAACCCCCATCAGGTTTTATTCTTTTCTGGTCATACATGCGCTTAAGAAGCCCAACTGCTTTCCAAGTTTCTCCAGCCTTACAAAACCCATTAATCATTGTACCATAAGTAATGTCATCACATATTTGTTCATCTTCCACCATTTTCACGAACAACTCAAAAGCAGCATCCACCGAGCCACCTTCCGCGACACAAAGCCCATGAAGAAGAGTATTTAGCAAACAAGCATCTGGCCTAAGTCCAAGCTTAAATACAGTGGCCAAAACAGAGAAACATAAATCAATCCTCTCCAACTGGCACAAACATCTAATTACCACGCTCATGGTACGAATGTCGGGTCGAAAACAGACCCCACAAAGAGCGTTCATCTCTCTATACATATAAACAACAATGGGATGATGGTTCATATTGTAGACTGCCCCAAGTAAATGATTGAAAGCCCAAATACAAGGCATGGATTGCATCTGAACCATGGAATTAAAGTAACCCAAAGCTTCTTCTAGCTCAAGTGTTCCCACTTTAGATTTTTTTCGGATTAATCCCCCGAACTGGGCAATCCAACGTCTTTTGCTTTTTCTGCTGAATTGGGTAATGGAACGTTTATTAGTAGCTGTAGCAGCAACAGAAGGAAACTGGGTTCTGGAGAAAAGGACAAATCGAGGGAAGAGAGAAGAAAAAGAAGAAGCATTGTCGGTAACAACTGACCCTTTTGCGGTCAGCATTTGAGGTTTTGCTGCAAAGTACGACTCAAACTAGTCATCTAACTTATACAGGGTAGCCTAAACGAATAAAATAAAATATTTTTAAAAAAATAAAGCAGAAAACCCAACAACAATAACAACGATCAACAATCTAAAATCAAAGTTAATCCAAATATAATCTAGTCTAGACTAGAATTCATATACATATTACATAGAATATTCAAAACAATCAGAGTCAAAAACTGCAAAAGAACCTGCAAGAAGACGGCGAGGTCGCCGCAGAGAGTCTGGAGACGTCTGGTGGGCGGTGGCCGTGGGGATGGGGGTGGGGAGAGCTTCTTTCTCGTGTGTGCGCTTTACACTGTTTATTTAGCATAAAACGGCGGGTAAAATGCAACCATTCACCCTAAACCTTTTGTGAAAAAATTTGGGTAAGTAGTTGGCCATCCTTTTAGATGAATGGGCTTTTTATTTTTATTTTATTTTTAAAGGTAAATGATCAAATTTTTTTTTTTGTTTTTCGCTGGTTCGAGTTAAAAACTAAATTTATATGAAAAAATATTATAATAAAAAATTTTAATTTAAATTTTTTGTTTAAAAATACTATAATAAAATGTTTGAATTGTGATTTAAACTGTGAAAAGAACATGACTTTTGTTTTTTAGTTACAGTGTTGTTTATCGTTGATTTTTCAATAGTAAACCGTGGATTGAAATTGCTTAATCACTGATTAAAATTAATCAATCAGTGATGCACCATCAAGTTAATCAATGATCTTAATTATTGATTTATCATGGTCTATCACTGAAAATAACAATTTTCCTAATTTTATAAAACTTCATCCATTTACTAAAAAATAGCTAAAAAATGAGTCTTCTTTGCAAATATCCCTATTTTTGTTACAGATAGAAGATTTATGTGGTAAGACCTAAAAAAACATATTATCGGTGGGTATCTATTTTTTAACTGTCATATGGTTTGTTTTGCATATGTGTATAATATTTTTTTCATTGTAATATACTACGGATATGAAACCCTACAATAGAAAGATGTATACATAAGTTAAATATCAAACTTTTAATTTTAACATTTAGAGTGTTTACCTTGCATCAAAGAAAAAGAACAAATGAAAGTGATGAATGATTCTCTTTCTTATATAATAATGCGTTTATTTACAAACTAAGTAATGGGCATATGTAATGGCCCCGCATAATATATGAATGAGAAAAGAGAATATCAATCCTTATATTTCTTGGTATTAATGTTGTGTTAAAAAGAATGAAAGCCAAACTTACTTATCTATTCTTAATAAATTGCTATATAATTAATGATTATTTAATTATATAAAAAGTGTTTTTAGTAACTATATTGATAATATTATTATTCTTAATCTTAGTAAACACTAAAAAAGAAATAAAGTTATTTCTAATTATACCATCGAATAATGAAGTAAACACTTGACGAAATTAATAATCATAATTCTTATTCTTATATTATTCTTTTCAATCCAAGTACCTCTCTCATTACATCCCTTTTCGGTTTAGAAAACCTTAAATTTAACCATTTTGATAATAGAGTCAATCGATAATGGACATCAATATTAAATGGACGACAATTAGAGCAAAAATGTCAAAATTTTGTATATGTGGTGAATGAATTAAACCGTTCGCGAGGTTGTTGATAACGATGGAGCCACGTGGTAATGAGTAGGGCACTTGCTTCTACTCAACTTTTGAAATTTTGATTTTTACCTCAATAAATCAAAGTTGCAATCTTAAACTCCATAAACTTTCTAAATGAAAATTTTAAATTTGTTCATCGACTTAAGTAATTTCCATGGTTTATGCCTCCAAAAGATATTGCATAATTAGAGTTACATGAATTTCGTTTAAATTTTTATCTTCTAATTGCTTCTTTGTTTTTAAGTATCATAAATTCTATAATAGACAATTTGTTTACGATCTTTTCATAAATAATTAAATATAACTTGGTTTATTAGATATAATATATATCAATAGGTTTGAGATGCCGTTTACCCAAGTCTTAAATCAGTGGTCACTTGAGAACTTGCCCAAAACTTTAAATTATGACACTTGCCATCCAAACTTGTAAAATCATGCAATGTGCCTTATTTATCTTTTTGGGTCGAATTTGGTGGCAATATAGAGATTTAAGGTCCGTTTAGTTCATTAATTTGAGTTTTTAATTCGAGTTAAAATATGACTTTATGTGATAGTTTTTTACTATAGTAAAAAAGTTAAAATGTGACTGTTTCTTAGAACTTTTTATTGTAACAAACTAGAATTCTAAAGTCGAATCAGTAAAATGAATGGGGTCTTAAGTTATTTGTGTTATAGTTTGCATTGAGTTTTGGGGATTTTGGTTGAAGATACGTATTTCAATCCTTATGTGTGAGGCTATAGTTGGCGATCCGTTTATTAATTTAATGGCCCTAAGTAAAATGGGTATATTGCCACAATTTACAAAGTTATGGGGGTTAATTTATCAGAACCCCAAAAGTTTAGGAGACAAAAATACTAAAAACCTTGTTTCTATAATGTTTATGGAATAATCTAGTGTGATAGAAAGCATATACGCCCTTATTAAGATACAATATTCATCTTTAAATCTATAAATAGAGGGAAGCACCTACACCTTACCATAAAAACTTTCAACTTTTTTTTTTTTTTTTAATTTTTAATATGATTCAGGAAAAAAAAAAAAAAAAAAAAAAAGTCTTGCTCATTTCTTTAGAGGTTAAAATATTTGTTACATGTTCTTATTCATCCTAAATGATATACGCCCTTATTAAGATTTGATATTCATCTTTAAATCTATAAATGGAGGAAAGCACCTACACCTTACCGTAAAATTTCTTCATTTTATAAACACTAATATGATTCAAAAAAAAAAAAAAAATGAAAGTCTTACTCATTTCTTATCTTTCTCGTTCATTTAATTTGGATTATTAACATTGTTAAATAATCTATAAATTATGCGTATTCCATCAACTTTGGTCTTAAATTTTTAATTTTAACGACCTTAACATTTTGGTTCTTAACCATTTGTCTTTGCACACTAACTGAAAATTCAAACAGATCATCATATATAATAACTGAAATTTTTAACGAAATAGTTACCTTAATTATTAAATTTTCTCTTCACTATTTGACAAAACATTAAAAAACTAGTTCATTGTACAATTAATGCTGCTACTTTTGTAAAAACTTCAGAAGTCATTCGCCAATTTTAGTGTGCAAGGACTAACGTGGTCAAAAATCAAATGTTCCAAGAGCAATTTATCAAAATTAAAAATTCAAACTTTAATGACACAATGCATATAATTCAGAGACTAGTAGGGTTAAATACCTTGTCAATTTTAGAAACGATTCTGAAAAGTCATTGTGCTTAAGCGAGGGACTAAGCACATTCAAGACCATTCCATTCCATGAGTCAAAAGAAAGAATGAGAGCCAGAGGAAAAAATCTGTTAGGATCCTAATTGAGTCTTATATTGTTAAAATATTGACTTAATATGTGGGTTTATAACTATTTGGACACCATCACCCTACAAGCTAACTTTTGGGAATGAGTTCTACCTAAAGGTTAAAACAATTGGTATCAGAGCATGCCCCTCAAGCTCACGTTGCGGAAGGGGGGACTTGGGGAGAGGCGACCTGGAAAGGCCAGAGTGGGCCATCCCGAGTGGGCCGCCGTAGACGTCGGTGTCGAAAACGTAGTGGTATGTTAGGATCCTGATTGAGTTCCACATTGCTAACATATGGGCTTAGCATGTGAGTTTATAACCACTTGGACACCCTCTCCTTACAAACTAACTTTTGAAAATGAATTCTACCCAAGGGTTAAAACAATTGGTATCAAAGCATACTCCTCCTCAAGCCCACATTGCGAAAAAGGCGACCTAAAAAGGCCAGAGTGGGCCACCGTGGACGTCGGTGTCAGAAGCGTCGTAGTATGTAAGGATCATAGTTAAGTCTCACATTGCTAAAGTATGGGCTTAACATGTGAGTTTATAACTACTTAGACACCCTCTCCCTACAAGCTAACTTTTAGAAATGAGTTCTACTCAAGGATTATAACAATAAATCCCAAAATATTCAGAAGACAAACACATCATATTCAGAAGACAAACACATCAGGAATATGTTATCACCACTCAAGAAGTTAGCAGTGAAACAAAAAAAAAAAAGTTATGGTAATAAAGTTTCAATAAAATAAAAATAGCAGTAGTGATAATTATCAATCATAGGAATGGAATACCAAGAGGAGAGTAGAGTAGATGGTCAAAATTTTAGCCTATTGTCAAAATTTTGTGCCTAATTTGTACATGCTGATCTCTAATAACTTATCAAGCGATGTAATCTGCTGGTTGCAATGTAGTGACGATGTTACAACCACTTCCTCAGGCAATTTATGGATTTAGGCTTGCTTTCTTGGTTATATTTCTCGTCATTAATGTTTAGATTTCTTTTTCTCGTCTCGATCGCTTCTATTGCGCTTCTTCCCGCCCTTGCTTTCCGTTTTACTTCTACTGGATTTCACGCTAACGAGGCCACCGGAAGGTATCTTCCCATCGTTGTTTTGCAATGCGTTATCAAAGTTTGCTCCAATGGCATATTGCTGGAGCATCTCGGGATCCAAAACTCCCTCCATGTCAGGTTTCATTTGTTCCTACACAGAAAGCCCATTTTAGCACAGCTCTTTCCTTACTAGAGAAAAGAATGAGAAAGGAGCAATAGAACGGGCAAAATAAACTTGAACTATTATTTTATAACAAGAAAACCCGGCCACACCGACCATATGTGCAGTGGGTTTGTTTAGCCATTTCTGTGTCACCCGGTTCATAATTTTCAAAATCAACACGGTTTGTTCATTTTCATAAATTTCAAAAACCAACACTCTTGGTGCAGGTTGATAAAGGGCTCAAATCTAACGCACAAATCCATGAACACAGTTTCATTAAAAGTATAAAGGCAACATACCTCGGCCTGCCTGGCAGCTCTCTTGAGATCCTCCTCCATAGCGATATCATTTGGTTGCATCTCAATCTGAATTTAGAATCAACAATTGATGGAGTTACAACACACCAATAAAATCATTGAATATGCAGAAACATGCACCAAACAATCTTATGCATGTGGATATAAGTGCAAAAGATCTTATAGCACATCTAGTAATTGTTAAGCACAAGACAATATTCCTCTTTGGATCAATAAATGTGCGATTTAAAAAGAATCATAAGTGTTTGTGCATGCATTCTTCTACTAACAGTAAAGCAAATTCCAAGAAAACTTACTTCTCTTAGCCGAGGCATGCTTGATTCAATCTCTTTGGCATCGATATTGTTTAGATACTTGGAGAACTTTTTCATAGCTTTTATAAATAGTGACAATATTTGTTGCCTTTCCAGTCCCATTTGTCCCTGTTTTACGAGCGTTAAAAGTGAAAGGAATCAAAAGACCTAAATGGCAAAAGGACCCAAAAAAAGAGAAAGTATACACCAGCTAGGGGGAGGGAAGGAGAAGAAGTAGAAGAAAGAAGAAGAACCAGAAGAAAGAAAACTTGTAATTTACATGAATGGGGTGGAGGATCTACTTTGATTATGTTTTTAACTGTATCTTGGGGTTTCCAGTACTTGATTGAGATTATATTGTACTCCCTTTAATACACACACACACACAATCAGAAATCTCATTATAGGATGAAGATCTTAAGGTTCTTAAGAATGTAAGAAATTAAATTTAAAAGCTATTCAGACGCCTGCATTTTCTATGAGCAGGTGCAAGTAAACGTGTGTGCTGATACAGAAAATATTCAACCAACTACGAATAGAAGACAAGAAAATATACCTCAATATCAGAGATGCCTCGACCCTGCAATCCAATACATAGCAAAACAGAAGCCTGGGCATATGATAATGTAACAGGAAGTTTCTCTTGAAAGTATAGGCGTGCAAGCTTTCGAGCTATATCCAAAATCTGCAAATTAGATTCGCAGAACAATATTTGAAATCGCCATCTCATCATAATATATATTACAAAAATGATTTATCTTAGGGTTCTAGATAGTATATTAAACTAAGTGCTTATGTTGGCCTTTTTCCTTTGAACGTCCAAAAGCTACTTTTTGAAGTGTTTTTGATGTAGGATCAATATAAGAATAGAAATAGAAGAATAGACTCGAGCTAGGGAGAAAAGCCACTAGGGAGAGAAATAGAGAGGATTTGGAGAGAGAAATAAGAACTCAAGAGAGATAAACCACTAATTTCAATATTCAACCATTGTCTGAAATGAAATTACAATGCTACTATATTTATAAGGCAAAACCAAATAACGAAACAGGAAACTAAACCAATATGAAATATGAAAACTCTAGAAATGGGAAACTAACCCTATTTTTAAAATAGCATAAATTCCTAATTAAGCAAAATAGGAAATTAGACCAAAATAAAATAAGGAAAGTTAACAATGGGTACCTACCCTAATAACATAAATTGCTAATTATACAAAAACTAAATAAACATCTAAAACTATTCCGCATCAATTTTATTTGGATAATTTATAAGAGTTTCACTCTCCTGCACAAAATCACAAGTTCACCTTTTTGTTTCTGAAAAATAAATAAATCAATACCATGCTTCTCCCATCAAGTTCTTTTAAAACTATAGGTTCCACATAAACTGAAACTCTTCTCCTATCCAACCTATAAGCAATTTCAAACAAGTTCAAAGGTAACTGACATTCTAGCATGAACCATCTTTCAAGATCTTACCATATGATAGTCAGCAAGGTTGTTGGCATAGGCTTCTAACCGCTTCATGTCATAAAATGATAGCATCTCTTTAATTGAGTCTACAAATCCATCAAAGGTAGTCGTCCCTGATTCTAGCTCCATGAACTTGATTTTTGGATCCAAGATGCTGTGAGATTATGAGTTGCATGAGCATTTCAGCAATGAAAATTTATCTTGTAAGAGTAACTTTGAACACTGACCTCATAGCAAGCTTGTACTCCATTATATGAAACGTATGACCCAACAGTTCAATAAATCTTAGCCTGAAATCTATGGGCAATTAACAGGTTATCAAGCTGAGAACCCAAAATAAACAGAAATAGATAAGTACATAATACAGTATTCTTGGAAAGAACGGACACACCTTGGCAAAATGGTCCAAGAAAGCCCAATTCAACTGATGCGCTAGTTTCTACTTCATCATTGTTCAAAGGTTTTAGGACCATACAAGTATGCTCACCAGTCACGGAACTCTAAAACCGATTTAAAGTACTAGAACGTTAAACCTCCACAAAATTATAGTATTACACGTTTAGTGCAGAAACAAAAGATTTCTTAACTGGAGTATGGCCAATAAAGAATGGAATAAACTTATGCTTTCTCCAAAAGCGCAGAAGGTCCAAGGTGAGCCCAAAGGAAACGCCGATATAGTGAAGCTTCTCTGGTTTCCTTTCACGGAGATGAGCAAGCAAATGAGGAAGATTTTTCCTAGGTTCTATGGTCTCTTCTAGCAATGAAACCTGTATCTGTGAACATCAGCATAACAATTGGCAAAAAAATAAATAAATAAATAAATAATGGAAGATTTTTCCTAGGTTCTATGGTCTCTTCTAGCAATGAAACCTGTATGTAAGGTACCATTGTAAGTCAGCAACCCATACTTCCGACTTCCCAGAAACATATTGTGAACATCAGCATAACAATTGGCAAAAAAATAAATAAATAAATAAATAATAAAAAAAAAAAGAAAACACAAGCCAATATCTGTGGTACATAATAATTGCTACAAACATAAGGGAAATCAGTAACTTTGTTAGACTTAGTTCGAGCTAGAAGTTGAATGCATATGTTGCCTCCAAAACCACCAACTTATATTCCAAATATTGATGTCCAAATCAAATGGTTTTTTACCCAACTCAAATGGTTTCACGGAACACAAGCGACAGATTCAGTACCAACAAGATACCTTGCAATTTCATTTCTTAGCATGTATGTCCCAAAATTTATGGTTTTCAGGGATGTGTGCCTTTGGATTTGAAAATTAGAATGAACCTACAAAGTTTGTATACTTTTCGCAGCATCAATGAAATTTCATCTATAAAACACTCTTCTTTTCAATCATACGTGCTACGTTCCTGAAAAGCAAAAAGTGTGTTTACTAGCTGATCCAAAAGGTACAAAATTGTCTTTTTAAACTGCTTCTCACTTTACAAAAACTAAAAGAAGTTGTGTTTGGTCAATACCTCCTACCCAAAGGTGTAGATATGCAAGAAATTTATGTATGAATGCTAAAACCTAAATAGAAGAGAAGAAAAAAACTTATCGTCTTTATTAGAATAAACCTTTTTAGCTGCTTCTGTGACTCTGACAGGAGAGGTCTCCACTTCATCATAATCCATTTCAGAAATAGGTGCAAACTGCCCTTCATAGTACCTGCAGGGGAATAAAATTGTTTGTACTTAATCTAAATACACTAGGAAGCTCCTTTAAAAGAAAAATACACGAAGCAAGCCACATTTATAGAGCTCCCCCAAAAACAACCAAAAAAATAAATAAATAACCAAAGCATCATAGTGACATGTTTTTTCTCATGTATACATTTGGCGGGTAGCCGAAACACTCAAGCTACCGAATCATCAAACAGAACGTTTTTTCCTTCATCCGTGATTCTAAGTTGTGTCCTGTCAGGACGGGCAACGTCACAACAATTTATGAATAAGCAAGCACCTAACAGCAAAGGGGTGAACTCCCACTAAGGTTATCAATCCCCAAAACTCCTAGCTTTCTCTTATTTAAAAGGCTCCATAAAACCATCTGATCTTCCAAACTTTTTAGCCGTGTTATTTCTCAATCAAAGAGTTCCACAACACTATCATCCCGTTAAGGCCTTTACATCCAAACAGTGACCAAGAAGCTATGACTTTTGCTTCCTTTGGTTTACTTTACTGACTAAAAGCAAAAGCAATGGCAAAGAAAGCTTCAATCCTCTTTGCCTTTGTAACCATTCTCATACTCAATGGTCTGCAAGTCCACTAAACCAAAAGTTTTTGCAAATGAAGAAAAAATGGTAATCCAGTAAGTTGCAAAAGAATCCAAGTAAATGCCAGTTCATAATTATCCATGAGGCGTACCTTGTCAGAAGTTGGACTGCTTGTGAACCATATCCAAGCTGCAGAAAAAACATAAAAATATTACAAAATATTTATGAAGAAAAAAAAAACACAAACTCCGCATGAAAGACAAAACAACCTTCATTGCACTTGGATGGGTAGCAATTCGTACAATCCGAGCACCTGAAAATGTTGGAAAAACAGTGTCTTGGAATTGCTCACTAAATTTCCAAGGTATCTGGTCTCCAGGGGGTTGACGACCAGTGCTTAAACTTTTGAGTGCAGATTTACGGGAAATCTGTCCCTCAAGAGCGACCTATGAGGGCAAAGGTTAATGACAAATTCCAAAAGTCAATAAATAAGCTGAGCTGACATTTTAGTACAGACTGTTGCAGAAAAATATTGGAAGGAGTTATGTTGAGAAGAACATGCTAACCTGAATGACACACAAAATATCAGGAAGTTGATTTTTTGACTCATCAACAGGGCCTGCAGATATGAAATTAGTAGATGTCCTGCCATGCAGAAAAACACAAGAAAAAGCAAGTTAAAGAATACAAGCATACCAAGTAATACAAACAAGTGGTGCGCTGGTGCATCCGCCATTAGTTGTAAATCATTGGGAGAGTTTTTGTAGTGAGAGGAGACATATAAGGCCATCATCCGCTGCAGTTATTACAATGCTTAAGTACTAAATATTTGAGTAATAAGAAAATTTTGCGTATATAAGATTATCTGGAATTGGTGCATGCGTAAATAGCCATAAAAACTGAAATATATAAAGCAAGATGAATAGTTACCTGCAAGAACAACTCACTCTCTTTGTGATAGGAAAAAAGTGTATCACGATTAACATAGTAGAGTTCACACTCACTCGGTTGAGGTAACCTAGTTGCCAAAAAGGAGGTAAGGAATGAGAGTAGTGCAAGAGGTTTTACCCTCTAGAGGTTCTAAAACACGATGCCCTTACCCACTAAGTTTAGGGACTGCATTTGTTGCATCCAAGCAGAGTAAGCCATGAAGCCATGATTCTATAGGGTCCCCAGATGCATATCTAATAGATTCGCTCAGCTCTATCTTTTTGAAAAGATAACCTACAATCACAAATCATTGAGAAATTAAGTAAAGGAATAGAGTAAAACACAAATCCAAGAACATTTTCATCAATATCCAGGAAAAAAAGAAAGAAAAAAAAGGGAAAGAAAAAGATGAAGCCCGCACCAAACTGAAGAACATGAAACACACATCAAACTCAAGAACACTTTCAGAAAGTATTTGAGTCATAAGATAATGACTACATATTCCCACTATTCTGGTTTCTTTTTTCTCCTTTTCTTTTTTCTAAAAACAAAACCTATATGCTTAAGTTTTTATACCTAGAGAAAGATATTGATCCATAATTTACTTTGAGTAGATTCTCATTGATATTTTTAAGTGACTTTAGATTACATGAAGTTGAAAGTGCTTTAATGGTGCCATAGTAAAATAAATAAATTAAAAAAATAGTCTCGACCTTGTCATAAACAAATGACCAGGATAGCTTTATATCAAATGCAAACAAAGGTAAAGCATATGTTACCAGATTTAGGACCCTCCACGCTCTGAGCTGATGGTTGACTTTGTTGTTCCAATTGCTGAATAAGTTTAAGGGACAAGGATCGACCAGTACCTTCATAGCTTTCAGAGGACAAAAACAAAATCAGACAATCACATAGGTCGGGACCTAAAGTACTTCAAAAATAACCTAATCTACTGAAAGAAAAAAATACTAAGCACAAAATCCAAGATTTTACACTAAAGTACAAGAAATGTGTTCCTTGCATGAAACAAGAATTTCTGACAAAAATCATCAAACAATTGTACGCATGAAACTTATACCCATTCACAGTAGATGAAAGGAAGACCAGATAGGGACCAAGCAATGACTTCACAACTGGCAATGGAATGGCTGCTGCCTCATCAACGACCAACAACTCAACTTGGGAAAGCTTTTCGTGCTCATGTGGTTGTATATACTGCAAAATATGCTAGACAAATAAGTAGCTGCATAAGAATAGAACACGTCTTATTGTCGACCACTTATTCTGGGGCATTTAGTACATGTTCAACATGCCAAAAGCCAAACCACGGAGAGAGAGAGAGAGAGAGAGATCTCAGCACTTGAATCTCCTTAATTTTTGACTCTTACAAGAGAAACCCAAAATAATGCACAGGGTTTGAAGATAACATGGAGACATAAACCTATAGTCCCCTGACCAGAAGATACTAGTCTCCTTTCAAGTTTTTATTTTCTTGAATTTGAAATGATACAAAATAAAGACAGAGTAAATTAAGATTGCCTTGTACATATAATCCAATAGAACTTATCTTATACACACGGCAATAGCAACTATAAGAAACAACAAGCACCAATATAGCAAAGCATTGAACAGACACTATAATTCCGTACTATTTTCGCCAACAAACAAGCAAAAAGTACAAAAACATGAATTTCTATCAAAAAGGACAAAATATGTATCATTTAACCCATATAAAATCGACAAACCTGAATTGTCTGCCTGTGCTGCTTGTAAATATTAATCCGTACAGTTGCTTTCTTGAACTCAGGATTGGTGCTTCTCACCACATCAAAATCTATATGTTCCTAATTTAAAAAAAAAAAGGTTTCACAGTAGTAAATGTAATATACTTAGCACTCCTTTACCTTGCATGAAGAAGAATAAAGAGAGCATATAATTCTGGAAATCCATCTTTATAAATATAATATGAAAACTAACTCAGAGAATAACTTTCAAAAAAGAAATTCAATATTTAGTGTTGGATTCGATTTAAAATTGTCTACAGTTTGGCGATACTGAATCTTGTAGCCTCTAAGGTGGGAAAATGTAGAATAATCAGAATTGATATGAATCAATCATTTGGAACTTCTTAAAGAGATTTCAGATTTTCTACATTTTAATTGTCACTCTCCTGATGTAAAACGCCATTTTTTCTAACAACTTATGTTAAATCGTAAGAGAAATATAAAAGTCCTCATCTAAATCATACCAATAAAACAAATTTTAATACAGCAATTCAGAAACCAAAGCCTTGATAAAATTTGAACTAGTTGTAAACTCATCTCTGCAGGTTAAGCTCATTTATACTAAATTGAGATTTTATCTGACTACAAGTTGAAGTTTTATTAATTAATTGCGACAGAAATCCAAAATCCAATGCAATCTATCTACACTAGCGGTCTATTTTGAGGCTGATAAAAATGCGCAGTGATAATATGACATGAAACAATAAAGTAACTACAACATCCAGAAGATTAGACTAGCTAGTTTACCTTATAATCAAGTGCATCAAAACCTTTGCAAGCAAAGTCAAACAAGGTTTTCACATTCTCAGGGCTAGGCGCAGTTACAAAGATATTTGAGTACCTGATAAATATAAGTTCTCGAGTCAGTAAGAGAATGGTCACTTTCATAGATATTTATGTTTATAATTTTTTTAAGGGAAAATTTTTTTTGCACAAGCTTACTACCCTGCAGCAATAGCTCCTGCAATAGCCAAACCAAGAGCTGCTGATTTTCCACGGCCACGAGCAGCAAGCAAGGCAACTGTACTTTTTAGTGTCTTGTCCAAAATTGAATCCAGAAATGTGATGACAGCTTTTCCCTAGTTAAACATTAAAGAATATACTTAAAATCATCACTCTTGTGTAGCAATTAAGTCAGATAATTAAGATTTAAAGACAACAATCTCTACCTGGTCCAATGTACAACACTTCTTTATCAAAGGGCCAACAGGGAAGTCATCAACAAGTTCTTCTTTTAGATTCTTCAGGTCTTGCTCTGCCTCTGATAGACCTTCTGAGTCCTTTGATTACCAAGAGGGAAGAAATGAAAGTTGTTATATAGAGATACTGTGAAAGCAAAATACTTGAATGAGAGATTAAAAGAGAAGAAAGGATTACCTCTTTAACGGGAACTGGCGTGATTGATTTCATATGAGAGGAAATTGGCAAAACATTCAATTCATCGTCCATAACTATACAGGCTTTGCATGATGCAAGTGATAATAAAAACCGCTCATTAAAGCGTCCAGTGGGTTCAGCATGCGACTCAGTTCGAAACCTCTCATGAACATCCTGAACAAACATAGTTGTTCTTATATTCAAAGACTAAAAAAACAAAAAAGTACAAAAACTATGTCTAGCATGATTGTTAATGCTTAAATGCGTTTAACTAAACATTATTTATATTTATATAATAGAAAAGCGAGAATGTGGAAGCAAAATACACGACTTCAAAAAATTATAAGTCAAGGACAGGGCATTCATACTCATACCATAACCATGGTATATAGGCTGGTAAGAGAGGATAAAGAACGAATCAACAATAATATTAGTCCACCACCCTCCACCGTCTCTATTGATCTTGCAAGTAGATTTGGGGTCAAAGCTTCAAAATCCTAAAAGAAAGACAAACAATGGCTAAGATACTAAAATAGTATATTTATAAATTATAAACTACCAAATGACTAAACCAACAAAACGGCAACATTCAATTACATGACATTGCATATTTATACTGAAAACATCAATTTTCATAATGCCAACGAAAGGTATTTGCAACTTACCTGAAGTATGCACATCCCAAAAGTATTACCAAGAATTCTTTCTGAATCCTTGTATAAGCAGTATGTCAATCCCGCAGTTTCAAGAAAAAGCGAGAGAGGATCAACCTTCTCCCGGTCATGCAGCCCGCTTTGCATCAGGCGTTTAACCTGCTTTGCACGTTTTTTCTTGTGACTGCATAAAGTAGTCAGCTTAATCAATCTTCAATCATGCAGGAATATGAGAGATAACTGTCAACTTTTTCATCATACTAGCCATTTCTTCACAATTTTCTTTTTTTAAAATCCAGTCTTAGATTGCTAAAACAATGTACTACATGTGGAACTACATCAAGTTGTTTCCTTTTACATGACTTGAATTGAAAAGGCAATTATGGTGCAATTTGGTTCGCACTTTGAACCACAACTCGAACATTTTTGCTTAAGCATTTTCTATCACAAAAAATAGAATTTCTATTCAAACCTATGAACCGAAGAGGCCATAAATGATAACCCTAACTACAATTGTATCGAATCTGATATCTCCCGTCACATAAATCATAAAATATAGGATTTACTCAAGTGTCTAATTTATCATAATGCTATATATAAAGAACAACTGAACCACGTCCAAAATCAAGTCTTTACATTGTAGAAAACAAAACCCATTAAGAAAAAATGGTGAAAACTTATTACAAACAAGTTGAACAAACCTGAACCACGTCCAAAATCAAGTCTTCACATTGTAGAAAACAAAACCCATTAAGAAAAAATGGCGAAAACTTATTACAAACAAGTTGAACAAACCTGCTGAGTTCAAGCTTGTTCTTGTAACACCACAACACAGTAGGCCTAGATTTCGTCACCGCCTTGCTTAGAATGTAGTGAAGATTCACTATCTGCTCAAAAACGAACAAAACAAATCATTTTTTGAGATTTTTCCCGAGAAATGGAAAAACCCAAACCTTAATCAGAGCCAAAAATCCCTCTATACAACAAAACGAATAGAAAATTACAGTAATTTTCTTTTCACCTGATCATGGTATCTGTCGCCGACGATGACGAACATCGAACGGTGCCGGGTCTTGACGCCATTCTCGATTAGGGTTCTGATTCGGTCGTCGACTTTCTTCCTCATTTCTCTCTTCTTCGTTTGTTTTTCTTCACCGTCGCGCGGCGCTGGTCGAGGGTGGGGCCGGCGGAGAGAGGTTTTTGTTTGGGTGGTGGTGCTGAATGGAAGGCAGGAAGGGTTAGGGGTTTTGGGAGGTTTTAATGTTCATTTTTAGCGTCAATAAACAACAAGGGAAAAAAAAAAGAAAAAAAAAAGAAGAAAAAAAGTAAGAATTATTATTCTCAACGGTGCCCCTCAACTTCAGGGTCTTTTCACTTTGCCATCTGAAGTTTAAAAAACTCCTACTTTACTCTATAACTGAACCATTTTTTTGTTAAAATTTCCTTAAAAATAAATTGAAAAAACCCACATCAGCTCACTTAGCTCTTTTTTTTTTTTTTTTTTTACTTTTAACGAGATTTTTAACAAATGCGTTATTAGAATTAGCTTAAAATTTGAGGAGTATAATAAGAGTTTTTAAAATTTAAAAGATAACGTGATGATGATATTAAAATTAAGGAGTCACGAGTAAGAATAATTTAAAAAGAAATCTTAAATCGTCAAGACATTATTGTCATTTCACGTCAAAGTTTAACTAAAAAGGATTTGAGTCATTGGTCAAGGGCTTACTTTGGTGGTGATTGATACAATATTATGACTGTAGGCGCAGCTGAGTCGATTAATAAGATTTTACTTGACAAGATCTAATAAGATTACATTCATTTCACTGATTTGAGTTTTGATACAGTAAAAAATTTTTAAAAACAGTCATATTTAATTTTTTTACTACAGTAAAAAACTCTCACATAAAATTACATCTCAATTCAAATTAAAAACTCAAATTAGCCAACTAAACGGCGTTAAGTGTTGTTCGGTTGGTTTTATAAGCATTAAAAAAGAAGCAGCATCTTGCACTACCGCCTTGACACCTACAACGGAAGAGATCATGCTAGAAAAGTTCATTGCGGCATAGCAAATGACAACAACACCCCTTAACGTGTTTGAGCATAACGTGACTGGAGGTAAATTAGATGCAGTTGTTAATTTAGGCCAAAACAAATTGTGGTTGTTGTATCTTTGATATCGATAGACATCCATGTGCATATGCCTTAGCAACTGTGGGGAAAAAGTAAATGTTTGGTAGAGGGATTCGTTCCCTGATTCGAATCATGATTCGTGGTTCGCTACAGTATTTTCTCTCACAAAAAATTCACGTAAATCGAAAATGATTCGAATCACATGGTTTGAATCCTCCAACCAAACGTAAGTGAATATTTTACCTATTATTTTAAAATTATAAACTTGTTGCTCTGTGGCACGTCTTCAAGCCGCATACAGGGCCATGGATCTCTCGATTCATAGTGAATATCTAACACTATGAATTTTTAGTTATCTAAATCTGCTTTGACTGCAACCTAAGCGCGTTTAGAACTCATTCTAAAATGATTTTATTTTTTGTATGAAAATGAAAATGAAAACATTTTTAATCTCAAACATAAATCATTTTTAAAAATGCGTTTAGTAGTTTTATCAAGATATTGTTTTCAGTATATAAAAACTCATTAATGTATATCTTTCTCCCTCTCTGCTCGAGAGAGGAGAAAATGAAAATAAAAAATGAAAAACAACTAAAAGTCGTATTTCATTTCTCTCTCATTTTACACAAAATCAAAAAATGGTTTTTATTTCTGTTTTTTATTTTTATTGCGCCAAACGCCGTTTTGAGAACGTTTTCATTTTTTCTTTCTCAAAAAACGTGAAAAACAAAAACGGGATTAATTCCAAACATGACCCGTTTTCACTTATATGAAGAGGCAGGTATAATGCTTTCTTATATCTCCGAGATTTGCCTAATTTTGGCCAGCTTCCAAGCCAATATGATTGCAAACTAGAGTTACAATGGTAAAAATCCTTATTACCTTTCTCTTCGCAGGCCAATTTGATCAAAGAATTGACATATCATCCAAGATGACAACTTCTTAATTGAATGGCATTATACTTTTTCTGCCTCTTTCTCAGTCCGAACATGGCCTCATCAACATGTTGTAATCATAAAGATAAATAAATTACATATCTAATGCACGGTAATTATACTTCACCACAAAGTAAAGATAATTAATCTGCATATCTACCAACAATAAAGAATGATGAATCCGAATCTTTACCTGGAATGCGTGCTTATTGTTTTGTTGCTCCTGCGCTTTTGCCTTTATGTTCTTCTTAAGGGAAGTTGTGGTTTTTTTGTATGTTTGGACTCCCCAGTCTTGACTGTTTAATAAGCAAATATCATTAACCATCCCTATATGGTTAATGGGACTCGAACTAAAGAAGAGCGATCTTTGTCTTATCGTCTTCTCGCATTTTCTCAAGATCAGCAACGCATACTGTATCGATTTTGTTGAAATACTTGCGTTTTAAACGGGTGTTATTTTTCGCTTTCTGTAATTTCTCATCCTCTTTCATTGGAGAAGGGTTAAGTCCGGTGATCATTGTGTATTCCTCCATGGAGAACCGTAGCAGTATTCCTTGTACCGTCATCCACATTTTGTAGTTTTTTTATTTTTATTTTTATGTTTTTTATTTTGTCAAAGAACAAAGTACAACAAAAGTTGGCTTGAATGTTGAGAGTGATCAATGGACGTTTGGTTCATGGATTCATAATTATTTTCAATTTACGTGTATTTTTTGTGAGAGAAAATACTGTAGCGAACCACGAACTATGATTCGAATCAGAGTACGAATCTTCCAACCAAACAACAAGAGATGACCAAACTGGGTCACCCGAAAACGCTTAAGCTCTTGTTTATTACCGTTCACTTCACCGATTCAAGTTTAGAATTTGAGTTTTGTTACAGTAAAAAGTTCTCAGAAACAGTTACATCTAACTTTTTTGCTACAATAAAAAGCTCACATAAAATTACATCTCAACTCGAATTACAAACTTGAATCAACGAAGTGAACGGATTTTTGATCTCTTCACAATATCTCTCGAATCTAAATCTGATGTTGATCTTGCACGAGCAATGCTCTTCCGTTAAAATTAATTTTAACGATTCAATATCTTCTGCCTACAAACAAATTGAAAAAAAAAAAAAAAAAGTTAGTAACCATGCAAAACTTTTGAAATGAAATCGTAACTACATTTTGAGAAAACATCATATGTATTGGATGACAATGGGATCATCTACCGGCTCTAATGCAGGTTGGACGCGGTCTGTGAATGAAAAAATTTACTTTGACAACTCCAAATTTGAGTATACCAAAAGCTCAAACTTAAATCTAGCTCAAATATTGTAAAAACAACCGATCTCAACTCTAAAATGGTAGAGCTCAATTGTAAAACAGTAGAGCAAATTGAAAAAAGGTAAAAATAATAATAATAATAATAAACTAGACATGCTTATAAAAAGACGTTTGTTTCATGTATTCGTTTATAATTTTGAATTATGATTTATGGTTCTCTATAGTATTTTTTTCTCACAAAAAATATACGTAAAACGAGAATAACTCTGAATCATAATTATGAATCCATTAACCAAACAAGCAAATTTTTGGACAAAAAGAAAAAGAAAATGATTAAATTAAAACAGATGCATTTACTTAAAATGATCTTTAAAGGAAGGCATTTACCTATTTTTCTCCATATTTATGTAAATAACCCTTTATGATTTCGCATTTCTTGGTATCTATGTCCACATGTTCCCAATTTACCACAATAAAGCTAAATTGTTTAAAATAAATGCCTCATCACTCTTTTTCATTTTGTTGGAAAAAAATGGCTTATTAAGCCATTTTAAAGGCCCATTTTGAGGCCCATGTTTGAAAGGGGCCCAATAGGTTTTGAGACGGGTCTCGATGGATTTGCGTTCTTCGTCACGAGGAGATCGAAATCAAGTATTCATACACTCAAAATGGATTTTGGGTGAATGAGAAATTGATGGTCTAAGTATGGTACTTGGAATGGCATATGTAGAAGGAAAATTGCAAAAGTCCCACATTGGCTAGGAGTGAAGCCAATGAGGTGTTTATAAGTGATTGCACTTTGAAACCTAGGTAAGCATGTATACCAGAGAAGCTCTCTCACGCGC